ATTTTTGGTGGATACCTTTTAGGTTCTCTTATTACCACTGTAATAAAATCAGATTGAGAAAGAAAAACAAAGAGCATACATCTCCTGTATGTATGTATACTGGAGATATCCAGAAAAACTGAATAAAATGTCCCTAAATGGCTCAAGGCACCACCTTGAATACCGTCTTCAGCTAAGGACAAAAGGAAGATGTTGGAATGAGGGTGGGGTGGCCAATTATGGAGGCTGCCAGGAAAAACCCAGCAAACAATGGTCATATTTGTCAAGTATATTTACGTCCATGGCTTCTCCATTTATAAGAGGTTTTCCCTCTTTCTTTCTTTCTTTCTTTCTTTATGTTGATAAGAGTTTCTTGTGATTTGTAAAGTCATGCTCCTCTTTCTGATACTAGGAGGGAGATAGACTTAAAATGGAAATTTCCTTTATTAATGGAAATGTTCCTGTAAAAAGGCTAACTTCCACTCTGGTTTCAGAGCTTCTCCTGCGTTGGTGTTTTCTTAAAAATCACCAGCTCAAAGTCATCCTTATGCCCAAGAGGTAACATTTGGAGTGGCAAACTCTGCTACCCTTCATGACTATCCGATAATAAGGTGGCTCCGTGAGAAACTCAACCAAGGTGGCTTAGGTGAATTGATAGGAACACATTCAAGGATCCCACAAAGTCAGGAACTATCCACAAGTCAGGAACTATTGCATCTTCATCTATACTTTTTGGCATGAAATTGAGCATATTTGCCTCAAGAAGTGGAGAGACCATTACAGAAATGTATACATATGGGCCCAGGATCACTTCAAAATACTCCACTGCTACCAGGAGGGTAACCAAAAGAGATACAGAGAGCACAGCAGCTACACTGAATTCCACTATGGCTTGAATGGGTATGTCGATGGCATAGAGGACATCCAGTTGTTAGACATCAAAAAATAGAAATCTACCCATGTCCAGAGGTTCGAGTAGAGTTTCCAATACTTCCCAAGCTGAGCCCCTGCCTCCATCAACAGCCCTTGCTACTCTATCCTTTGCATTTATGTGCCAACATTTTCCAACTAGTTAGAGTAATGCATCATTACATTCTTTCTTCCTATCAAAACCACTCACAGTTTCTCTTCCTGGAGTACTCCTGTGCCCTCATGTATCTGATCTCCTTGTACAGTTTTTTTTTTTAAAGATTTTATTTATTTATTTGACAGACAGAGATCACAAGTAGACAGAGAGGCAGACAGAGAGAGACGGGGAAGCAGGCTTCCCGATGAACAGAGATCCTGATGCGGGGCTCGATTCCAGGACCCTGAGATCATGACCTGATCCGAAGGCAGAGGCTTAACCCACTGAGACACCCAGGTGCCCCTCCATGTACAGTTTTTTAAGATTAAGTTCTATATGGCTTTTCTGTTTTACTGAACCAGGGATATTCCTGATTGTGAATCTCCTTATACTGACCCATCCTGAATGGTCTTCCTTCCTTAAATAAATTATGTCACTTCAATATGTTATATGTTGTGTGATTGGTGGAGGTGTCCCAGGGTGTGTGATACAGATTGTGCTGGGATATGTTGGGTGCACAGTGTAGGTTGAAGATGTGTATTATTGAACTCATTCCTTAAACACGTCTCTAAGGAAACACATGCATTTTATTTTATTTTTTTAATTTCTTTTCAGCGTAACAGAATTCATTGTTTATGTACCACACCCAGTGCTCCATGCAATGTGTGCCCTCCATAATACCCACCACCTGGTTCCCCCAACCTCCCACCCCCTCCTTCAAAACCCTCAAGTTGTTTTTCAGAGTCCATAGTCTCTCATGTTTCATCTCCCCTTCCAATTGCCCTCAACTCCCTTCTCCTCTCCATCTCCCCATGTCCTCCTGTTATTTGTTATGCTCCACAAATAAGTGAAACCATAGGATAATTGACTCTCTCTGCTTGACTTATTTCACTCAGCATAATCTCTTCCAGTCCCATCCATGTTGCTACAAAAGTTGGGTATTCATCCTTTCTGATGGAGGCATAATACTCCATAGTGTATATGGACCACATCTGCCTTATCCATTCATCCATTGAAGGGTCTCTTGGTTCTTTCCACAGTTTGGCGACCATGGCCATTGCCGCTATAAACATTGGGGTACAGATGGCCCTTCTTTTCACTACATCTGTATCTTTGGGGTAAATATCCAGTAGTGCAATTGCAGGGTCATAGGGAAGCTCTCTTTTTAATTTCTTGAGGAGTCTCCACACTGTTTTCCAAAGTGGCTGCACCAACTTTGCATTCCCACCAACAGTGTAAGAGGGTTCCCCTTTCTCCACATCCCTTCCAACACACGTTGTTTCTTGTCTTGCTAATTTTGGCCATTCTAACTGGTGTAAGGTGGTATCTTAATGTGGTTTTAATTTGAATTTCCCTGATGGCTAGTGAGGATGAACATTTTTTCATGTGTCTGATAGCCATTTGTATGTCTTCATTGGAAAAGTGTCTGTTCATATCTTCTGCCCATTTTTTGACATGATTATCTGTTTTGTGTGTGTTGAGTTTAAGAAGTTCTTTATAGATCCTGGATATCAACCTTTTGTCTGTACTGTCATTTGTGAATATCTTCTCCAATTCTGTGGGTTGCCTCTTTGTTTTGTTGACTGTTTCCTTTGCTGTGCAGAAGCTTTTGATCTTGATGAAGTCCATTTTCACTTTTGTTTCTTTGGGAATGCAGAATTTCTGAAGCTTGTTTGTTTTGAAGAATTTTCTAGAAATTAGCATTAACCTTCTTAAAAGAATCACTGGATATGGCCATTTCTGCTTTGAAGCAGATACTCACCTTAATATGTTAGCACCTCAAATTTCCAATTAATCTGCCCAGACTTGTTTCTTGGAAGGGGTTAGTACTCCTTTCTTTGTGGGGTAGCAATAGTCTCCCCACTGAACAGAGACCTCCAATTTGTCACCAGACTATCTGAGGTGTTTCTCCCCTTGATTGTGCCTGACCCTCTCTATGGCAGGACTCTGTCTTTCCTCTCCCAGTGTCCTCCTATTCAGAGCACTTTCCCTCCCCATAGGCTCCCCAGGTGTGATGGTCTGGACCACTGTCACCACTTATCACTTTCTTCCACAGACAGAAGCCCCGAGCACTCCCAGGCCCAGAACATGAGGGGAGTCAGAAGCCAGAGCTGGTGAATGTGCCAATAGTGAAGCAGCAAAACCCCAAGTGAGTATTCTTAAAGGCTCCAGGAAAGTGTTCTCTTACCACCAGCAGGCGGGAAATGAGGAGATTTAGGTTTGGGAATAAGGATGAGATAAACTTAAGACAAATTCTGGCCCAAGGAACCTGTCAAGATACTCTAAGTTCCCTTCTTCATCCTCATTGCTAGTAAGGAGTGGTATCCTCATTACCACAGAAATGCAGGGATGTCTGGCCCTTGTCACCCACAGCCCTTCTCCCCTCTTCAGAAGCAAAAGGTTCGTTTCACTTAAGAGAAACACAGTCTCTTCCAACATTTATGAATTTTGTGCATAAAGACAATGACTGAACTGGTCAGACTGGTGGGAAGTAGGGCTTTTCTCTAGTTCTAGGAGCCAGATGCAGCTGTAAACAGGGGGTCCAATGAGATGATAAAGTGATAACAGAAGCTGATTCTAAGCATGTTCAAGGGCTCTATAGAAGTGGTGCCAGACACGGAGTACTCACAGACCCGGTGCCCTGGAAACAGGAGAGAAAGCCACCAGCGAGGTCAGGGAAAGAGCTATAGCTCCATCCAGAGCAATTAGGGGGGTTTTGTTTGTTTCTTATGAGTTATGTTTTTTAAAGTAGGTGCCATGCCTCCAGTGAAGCCTAATGCAGGGCTGGAACTTGTGATCTTGAGACCATAAGATAGAGACCTGAGCTGAAATCAAGGGTAGGACACTTAACTGACTGAGCTACCTAGGTGCCATCCTCCACTGCACTTAGGAAAAGGGAGACTGCAGGATTTTCTTCCTGAGTCCCCTCTGGTAGCAGAAAGACCGGGACTGGAGGCCAGGAGACCTGGGGTCTAGTCTCAGCTGTGTCACTAAGTAGCAGCAGCCATGAGCAAATCACTTACACTTTCTGAGATTCAGGCTGTTCCTCTGTAAAAGTGGGGATTACATTATCTCAGGGATGGTCAGTGGAACACACACATTTATGTCCATCCTGCCTTCAACGGAGGCTACTGTTCAACCACATCGCTTATTAGAATTTTTTTCTACAGTGTTCTAGGCAAGCTCTTCCCATGAAAGTGGATACACAAGTCAAAATCTACTTATTCTCCTTCAATTTAATAATCTCTACAGACCCCTCTAGCTCCTAAATGGAAGATTCTGATTTTCCAACTAAGAGATGGCCATTTTTGTGATCTGGTAATAGCTCACTCAATAAAAGGAAAAGGAAAAGGAAAATTTAGGATCATAATTTCATCCCCTACTCCTGCCCAAGAAGACCTGGCTGGCTCTTCTTGAGGTCACCCTGTCCTTCCTTCCGTGCCAGAGGTTTTGGTATTTGAGCTCACCCTCCATCAGCTCACCCAGCAGGACAGTCCCAGACTGTAGCTCCCTTTCATCTCAAATAGTGCATACTTAAAAGCTTCATATTTGGCAGCAAGGCATCTCTGAGCAAAGGAATGATCTCAGGTCACTGAAAACCAAGAGTCAGCAGCAAAGGCATGTAATGATTCTATCTGATGCTTACCAAATCTACCCAGATTTACAGTTCTCACCTGAGCAGGAACGCAATCACACAGACAGTACCAGATGGCGACAGCTTCAGAAATCCCGGGGGTTGCAACTGTGTTTTATTGAAAGAATCCAGGAAGTGGTTTACATGGGGCCCCCCGCATCCCCCAAACCACACAGGGGCAATCCCTGAACAGGGACACGTGTGTTTTGGATAGGAGCCCTGACTGGAGTTCTGTCCCTCAGAACAAGGAAGGGAGAGGGGGAAAGCAGGTGCCAGGAGGGGGAGGTGGGGCATCTCTTTGCTTTGGTCTCAGGTGCAGACCTACACAGAACCGTCAAAGTGGACTGTCTCATACTGTACACACTCACAGGCCACAATGATGGGTTTCTGTAGCTGCTGGGTCTGGTAGTTGTATTTGGGGTATTTGGAGCCTTTCTTCAGGTGGCAGTCAATGATGTGCATCTTGGAGCTGCTTTGGTAGCAGTTGGGCTGCCTGTTCTTGCAGGGGACATTTCCCTGGAAGCAGACGGCCTGGACATCTGGCAGAAGCTCGTGGATAAACATGTTCACTGGCTTGCACGGTCCAACCATCATATTCTGGTGGTTCATCATTTGGTTGCAGTAGCTGGCAGTGACGGTGGAGGTGGCCGGGTCCATGTGCTGCCACAGGAACTTCTCGTCCCGTGACTCCTTGGCCAGAGAAGGATGGACACAGCCCAGCACCAGCAGCACCAGGACCAGTAGTAGGAACAGGATGAAGAACCTCTCCTGAGCCATGGTGGTCTCATTCCTCTGGAAGAGCCTAGCCAGGAAAGGAAGAGAAGAGAAAAAGCACTGCCTTAGAAAGAACCCCAGCTCCTACCTGTGGCCTCCCTGGCTCACAGTCTCCTTTTGGGTCAGCCAGAAAGGTATCCTTCCTCCTATGCAATTTTCCAAGGATTGAGACTCTTACATACACTCTTGTCCAAGAGCATTTAAGTCCCCCTTGCTGGAGAGAGGTGGTCCTCACCTCTGGGTGGTGACTTGACAGTGAACCAAAATCCTACAGTCCTGTGTCTGAATACTAGAAATTTTATAATTTAAAATCCATTTGAGGGGACACCTGGGTGGCTCAGTCTGTTAAGTGCCTTGAGCTCAGGTCATGATCTGGGTGTCCTGGGATCGAGCCCCACCTCGAGCCCATCTCCCTGCTCAATGCAGAGTCTGCTTCTCCCTCTCCCTCTGCTGCTCCCTCTGCTTGTGCTTTCTGTGGTTCGCTCTCAAATAAATAAATACATAAAATCTTTAAAACAATAAAATATAAATAAAATATATTTAAAAAACAAATACATTTATACCCAGTGCTCAAGGGGCTTATTAGAAAATCCTTTTGAATAAACCATGAGCTAAACTGAATCCCTGAAATACCACATGACCTCCAGGATCATGATAGACAGAGAGGGGCCTGTTTTCCTCCAATACAAGGGCAACGGCCCAGTGCCTAACACCAGCATCATAGAGAGATGCCATTGTATTCCCGAGTGATGCTTCCCTCCCCCAGTGCCTATGGTTCTCTGCAGCTCACATGCTCCATCCCCATACTGGTCCAGCTCAAGCTTTTTCAGGTGCTAACCTCAGCCAACCTGGTCCCTCTAATCCAACACAGAAGTAGAAGGAGTCCCTGAGACCACCTCCTCAGCCACTGACCTGGATCTCTAGCTTGGTCTCTAGCACAGAGGCTGAAGGCCAGTCTCTGTGATCCCTGGATCCCTAGAAAGGGAATCTTACAGATTACAAAGGGGCTTGGCTTCCAAGGAAATATAGGTGGGAGGAGCATCTTGGTTTCACTTTAGTGGGAACCAAGGACCTGTGAGGAAGGAACCATTGTAGGGAACCATCCACACCACTTTTTTTTTCAGGACTGCTGGGAAGGGCTTGGCTACAACGGTATTGATGTCTGAACCCCAGCAAAGTCCTTGTCATCTCAGGAGGCCATTCTCAACAAATAGTGCTTAGAGGTTTGCAAAGGACACATAAACATGTGATCCTCAGAACAGCAGGGAAAGGAGGTCCTCTGTCTCCCCAGGGGTCCAGGCATGGCTGGAATTCCAACAACACCTCTTCTGGCGGGGGGGGGCAGGTTGTGGGCATCCAGCAGCACCCAATGGAAAGCTGCAAGGACCTGAGGTCTGGGGGTTGGGAGGGTGTAGGTATGGGCAGTGCCCCCGCAGGGAGGAGGAGGAGACCTGCAACCTCCGGACTGCTGGCCACTTCAGCTCTCCTGCATGTGGAAGATGGGTGTGTGGCAGTTCTTGGTCATAGCAACCGCTCCTGGAAGGACAGAGTGGAGGAGAGGAACTAAAGTCAAACTAAATCCCCAAGGGATGTCAGGCTGGCTCAGTCACCAGGGCATGAGACTCTTTTATTTTTTTTTAAAGATTATTTATTTATTTATTTGACAGAGATCACAAGTAGGCAGAAAGGCAGGCAGAGAGAGAGGGAGGAGGAAGCAGGCTCCCTGCTGAGCAGAGAGCCCCATGTGGGGCTCAATCCCAGGACCCTGAGATCATGACCTGAGCCTAAGGCAGAGGTTTTAAACCACTGAGCCACCCAGATGCCCCCAGGGCTTGAGACTCTTGATCTCGTGGTTGCATGTTTGAGCCCCATGCTGGGATTGCAAACTACCTATAAAAAAACCCCAAAAAACAAACAAACAAACAAACAAACAAAAAAAACCCCACCCAAATCCCCTTTGGAGAAAAAATAGAGAACACCATATTTCTTAGCAGAGATTTCCTTCTGTTAACTGAGAAAGAGAGGGAAAACTGAAAAAGAACCGAAGACTTTACTGGGAAGTCTCAGGATTGGGTTTTTTGGAGAAACGCCCCAGAAGCACCCTCCTGCACCAGAAGAGCAGGGTGTTGGGGACAAAGGGTGGGGGACAAGTACCTGAATTGCATCAGGGAGCAGAAGGCTCTGACAGACTGAGCCCTGCTGGTTTATGCTTGGGTTGAATAATGCATTGGTGTTACCACACCATATGATTCCTGATCTGCATGAATTAATCATCTGTCATCAGAAGGCCACACTGGCAGTTTTATGACCCAACTGCCATGTGTCCCATTGACTTTATACGCAACTGCTTATAAAAACAATTACTGGCCAGTTCAAAAGGTCTTTCTCCCCAGTTCAAAACTGGGCAGAAGGGGAAATGGAGATTCAAGATGGAGTCTGTCATGCCCAGAATTTTTATATGATTTCACACCTCCTAAAAAGAGACCTTTCTTTTCTGGGTGACAATTACCATTCCTCTGGAATGAGAATACTCATAATTCCCTCCTTGCTCTGGATTTAGATGGTCTCAGTCCAAACTCTGATTTAACATCTGAGGAGCTGGGCAACTCTCAGAACTGAATTTCTTTCCCTGTTCCTCCGTTTTCTCAATCCTGAGATGGGGATGACGATATGTACCTCTTAGGTTTATTATGAGGACAAAATAAGGTAAGATGGGCAGAAAGCTTGGAGAGGTCCTTGGAAAGCATGATAAATGCTGGCTCTAGTGATGCCTCACATAGGGTGCTGTTGAGATCCTCCATAAAGAATCTGTGTCATTGACATGGAACCATCTCTGACTTCCTAAGAAAGTAGGGGTGAAGTAAAGGACCGCCCAGGCTTTTTTTTTTTTTTTTGTAAAAACCTGAACTGAAAAAAGTAGGCAGTTTTGAAGCCCTGAGGAGAGGAAGAAAGGGGAAGAGGAGAGAAGAGAGGGACCTTAGTAGAAAGAACAGAATTCTTTAAAGGGAAGAGTTTTTATTATGTTGCCACATGATATCCAAGAACTCCTTCGTGAAGTCAGCATGCTAACAAGTATGAATTGGAAAGTGCCAGTGGGGTGAGGATGATGTGGTATGGTGTGAGCTTTTACTTTTATGTTTCTGTAATTTGCCCAGCACCCTATCCTCCATCCAGGTTTGGTCTGTCTCTTTGTCCCACATAGCACGCATATCATCTGGAGTGGTATTGGGAGGAAAACTTCCCTTAACCACTTAGCTTCATGTCAGAGAGCCTGTAATGTCCCTAATAAAAAAAGACTGACGGGAAAATAGACAAGGTTTATTCGCATGCCTGTGTCAGAGCACAAAAGAAGTGGCTCCCTGAACAGCAAGGGATAGAGCTTTCTAGATTAACTTCATAGGAGAAGGAAGGGAGGGAAATAGGATATAAATGGGATCATGTTTTTGTGTTTTTGGGGGAGATAAATGAACTTTTAGGGAACAAGTGGGAAGCAAGACATTTTGTGATAACGTTTGCTTATGTAGGTGTGAGTGGCCTGTCCTCTTCCAGTCTGTAAAACTTCCCCAGTGGAGATTTAGGGCAGTTTCACTCTCAGAAGATTGCCTTTATTCAGGTAAGAGAATCTCTGAGGGACGCCTGGTGGCTCAGTCGGTTAGGCATACAGCATTGATTTCAGCTCAAGTCATAATCTCAGGATCTTGGGATTTACCTCACCATCAGGCTCCTCCCTGTCACCGGGGAGTCTGCTTAAGATTCCCTGTCCCTCTCCCTCTGCCCTTCCTCCCCTACCTCTTAAATATAAAATAAAATAACCACTTAGAACTGAGCAGGTAAAAAGTTAGTGATTTCTACATCAACCACTTTTTAAGGGATGGGTACTTGTTACCTTGCTCTCCCTCTCCTGCTTGCTTCTGACCAGCGACAGAGGACTGCCCCTTCCTCTGGTTCACTGTGCCATTAATTCATTCTCTAACCACAACTCTCCATCTCCCCATTTCTGAGAAATGTAAGTAACAAATCTTATGATTTTGCTTCTGTGTCCATGCCCTGAAACGGAGCCCTGGGTTTTTCACTCCCCAAAGTGGTAACTGGAATGCTGAGAGTAACCTGACCATGTGGATGGCTTGGCCCCTCTTCAGCACATCATAATCTTAACAGAATACACTAGCTCTGATTTCTCAACACACCAACATAGAATTATTTACCCTGACACTTGGGAATGAAGATAAAATAAGGCATTTGCTGACAAAACAATAAAATATAACAAAACCTAATGGAGTTTATAACTTCATTAAAGCAGCCCTCCACTAAAAAAATGTCTAAGCATGGATTTCAGGATACCGAGAAAAGCTACTCAATGGAAGTCTGAAATTCAGGAAGGAATTAAAAAAAGATGATGATAAATATGTGAACAAATCAACGATGTCTTGAGTATATAAAGCAATGATGTGTTGTTGAGTTAAGAAGATAAAATTAAAATAGACATCAGGAACATAACTTGGAAGTGATGTAAATTGCCAAGTGTTCAAGAGATGACTAAAAGTACTGATTAGACTTGTCTGTGTTTACTATGCATTTGAGAATTTCTAAGGTAAACAATGAAAAGATTTGAAACACAGGGTTTGAATTCCAAACTAACAGAGGGAATAAGTAGACTATGGATCAGTTAGGATAGTTTAGGTTGTGCTGCAGTAACAAACTCAAACTTCCAGTAGTTTAAAGTTTCTTACTCATTTCCCGCTACATGTCTATCCTGGTCTAGCTAAGGGGCTCTGCCTGCTGTATTCACTTGGGAAAATAGGCTGACACAGGCTTCATCTTGACACACACTGTCATAATCAAAGAAGCAAAGGAAAGACAACATAGCCCTGGGATGCCCAGGTGGCTCAGTCAGTTAAGCAACCTGCTCATGACTTTGGCTCAGGTCATGACCTGGGGTCATGAGATCAAGCCCCAAGTTAGACTCCAGGCTGAGTGTGGAGCCTGCTTGGGATTCTCTCTCTCCCTCCCGTTCTGCCTTCCACCCAATCTCTCTCCAAGTAAATAAATACAA